ATATATATTATATATATATATATAGATATATCTATAATATAATATTAAACATATCAGGTCCCATAAGGATGAATCATGTGCTAACGCTGTTAAATACTCGGGTAAAGTTTGTAGCATGCGTGCTTGTTGTTTTTGTCTGCTTCCACTTGTCTTTGCACTAGGATGATGTCGGAGTAAATGTGCAGTCATATTCGTTGTGTTTCTAGTGCTTTCAGGTTAATCTCGTTGAAATGACGTTAAAGCCACAACAATCATACAAGCACGTGGGGCCATGCAAACTATATAAACTAGTACTATTTTGAGTTGCTGAAATGAAATTTCAGTAAAATGGACTAGCCTGCTGCATCATTTTTAATTTAGATTTTCTGGGTGTCTTTGAATTCAGACCTCTGTAGGTTGATAATTTTCAGTTCAATCAAATGATGTGGCATCCTTTTGTTCCTGGCATATTACCCGGTTCATATCAATATAGATATCCAACATGATTTCTTTTTCCTGTTGATCTGATGTGTTTTCAAAGTGTTCCTTTAATTTCTTGAGCAGTATCCGTTAGTTCTCAACTTTTCAAAAATGGAATGAAAATGATCTTAAGACACGCACATGAATGTGTCATTTACTTTAGCAAGAAACACACGCGAAACATGAACACGCATGCACACACTCACACTGGTGGATGGCTTGACGGCCATGGAGATAATCAATAAGGCAGGGGTGTTATGACATCACCGGTTGCTAGGGTAACTGAGTCCACTGAGCAGATGGTGGTATGTTGTATGTGAAGAAGGACGAGAGCTTGTTATGTTTGTGTCTGTGCATGCTGAAGTGCGTGGTCATAAGAAGTGACAGTGATGTGACATGGACGACACATTAGATGACGCTGTCATTCGAGTAGCTGTCTTGTAAATTCATGCTCTGCACTATTTATTGCCCCTAATTTCCCCCAGTGAGTCATCGAAAGATAAGGCAGGCACATACACATTATGGATGTGTTTTAGGTCTAATTTGGTGGCACTAAACACAAAATGTACTTCGCAGGGTAACAAACAGGGAAAATACTCAGAGTGAATAATGATTGTGCAAAAAAAGGACATACCCAGCTCAATAAAAACAAGAGAAAAGAAAAAGAGGGGCACTGTGTGTGCTGTGATTTAAGAATCTTTATTGCACCAAGAAATTCCCTTTGTGCAATTATTTTTCTTGGTGGGCAGGTTACCCTTCTGAAGTGTCTTTTGTCTGCAGCATCGGGGAATGGAAATATTTTAAAAGCCATCAATCGTGTGTGTGTGTGTGTCTTTCCTTCATCTGTAGAACAGCCAAGTATTAAAGACTAAGTTTTTAGGATGAACTGATAATATTGCTACTGCATTATACAGTTAGATTTTTAAAGAAAAAGAAACATAATTCAGTTACTGTAAATATATGTAAGAAGAATTATATGAGTTTAGTTTGTGTAATTTTGTAGACAACTACAGAGGGTTTTGAATAATGTGCAGACTTTCAGTTTTAACTGAAGAGGTTAAACCAACCAGGCTGCTACTCTCCCTCTTAGGCTACGTCCACACTCGCCCAGATAGATTTGAAAATGGCGTTTTCGTCTGAAAATGCCCGACGTCCACACTGTCGTTTTCAGTCGTTGTCACAGAGCTGTCCGTCCACATTGAAACGGCTGAAAACACTTACGTTCCAGTACTGGAATGCAAGATAATTAGACCTGCCTCATTTCTGTCTGCCCCTTATTTACTTTCCGGCTCGTTGAAACGTCGCGGCAAAATGTCGAGGAAAAGCACCGAGTTTTTTAAATGGACTGACAATGAGGTGGAGTTGTTGCTGCGAGTAACACAAAAGCACAAAGTTGCAAAAGCGAGTGAGAGTTAAAGAATTTGAAGAAAAGCTATCTGTAGCATGTACAAACTGATATTAATCTTTAATAGGGCTGTCAAAATTGAGAGCAAACAAAACAACCGCTGTATAATGCCCTCCGCTGTCTTAGTTTAATTGGTCACTTGACTGCATCACATGACTAAAATGTGTCATCGTTTTCAAAAAGTCTCAGTTTTTGCTGTCCACACTGTGATGCGAAAGCACCGTTTTAAAATGTATGCGTTTTCGAGAGCGTTTTCAAAACGCTGCGTTTTCCTTGACCTAATTTTAAGATTTGGTACAGACTAAATAGGTTTTTATTGTTTCCTTTAAAATCTACAGACATCGGCTGTACTTTCATCTTACCTATGGTCCCACACACTGATACAAATCCTCATTCTAATGAGGACACACATGATATGTCTTTTAAGTGTTTCTGTTTTAACACAAAGCTGACAGCACAGCTGGAAACCAGGCCAAAGGGCGCTTCACAGCAATCGCCACTGTGATCCCAGTGTAGAAACAGGTACAAGTAGAAATTGGGGCCACAATGCTACAAGTCTGATTGCTTATCGCTGTTTCTAGATCAGGCTCTTGCTGCTTAGCTGTGGTTGACATATACACAGCTTAAATATCAGTTAGATTGTTTGCTAGTTTTGTGTTAGCATGCTGTTTATGCAGATGCTTGAAAAGAGTCTGTACAGTGGGGGGAATAATTATGTGATCCCCTGCTGAAATTGTAAATTTGCCCACTTAAAAAAAAAAAAAAACAGTCTCAAATTTTAATGGTAGCTTGATTAAAATTAGGGGAGGGGTTTGGGGGCAGAATATCAACCAAAAATGCAGAAAGAAATGCATTGCTTAAAAGTTATAAATTGATTTGGATGTAATTGAACAAAATAAGTATTTGATCCCCACACAAAACATGACTTGGTACTTGGTGGAGAAACACCAATTTGTCACCAGGATTGCACACGTCTCAATGGAATTTTGGTGCGCTCCTCTTTACAGAAACTATCTAAATATTTTAGGTTATGTCTGTGAAGTGAAACCTCTTATCCAAGAAGCTTCTTCACGTCTAAGAGCAATTGTTTGACGGTCCCAGATTTTAAGCCCTATGGGAGTGTACCCAAGAGGGTCATGGACCCCTTATTGATCCTCTACCTAATCACACAAGCCACGGTGTGAAAACGGGTGTGGGTCCCAATCAGCCAAGGTTTCGGGTGAACCCACTGTGAAACCTAGCCCCACCCTATCATGTGATTTACTGAGGTTAAATGGCCCAGGATGTGAGTGGGCGTTAAGGTGTCTGGGATCTCAAAACAGTTGGTGTTGTAAGCCCCGCCCTCTGTTCAAAGATGGTCATTCACAGTGGACATAGATGGCTTCTTTAACTCCTCTTTCAAACCATCTGTCTCCTCTGTCCAAAATGTGAACATTGGTGTCCTCGAAAGAGTGACCTTTGTCCTTTAGATGCAGACAGACAGCCGAGTCTTGTCCCATCGAGGTGGCTCTTCTATGCTGCTCCATGCATTTATGAAATGGCTGTTTGGTCTCTCCGTTGTAGAGGTCTGGGCAAACAGCCCCAAAGCATAACGTTTCCACCTCCGTGCCTGACTGGGTGTGCGGTGTTCTTTAGGCTTTAGGTCATACTCAGCCTTTCTCTTCCTCCAAACACGACAAGCCAAGTTGATGCCAAAGAGCTCCATTTTGGTTTCATCTGACCACAGCACTTTCTCCAAGCCTCTCTGAATTATTTAGATGTTCACTTGCAAACTTAAGGCGGGCCTGTATATGTGCCTGTAAAGGATTCGGACCCGACACACTGTGTTTTCGTTCGTTTTGAGCTTTTTATTGAGAACACAGTAATACTTTTTCTGGCACACTCAGCAGCCGACTTCCAGTCAGCTGCACACTCCTCTCCCCTCTCGTGTCCAACGTCACTGAAAAAGGGAAATCCTTGTCAGGACAATCACATCCACCTGTCCCTCCAACCTCCCTGGCACTGCCCTTGGGCTCACTGCACCACCCCTCCTCTGCAGCTGAGCCAGGGATCACACCTCCGCCACAGTACTTTATTGAGCAAGGGGACCTTTCATATTTCAGTCCATTACTGGGTAGTGTTTTACTAATTGTGTTCTTGCTGGTCTCAACAGCCCAGATCATTAACAAACTCTGGTTCAATCCCTGGCTGCTCCAGTCTGCACGCCAAATATCTTTGGGCAAGATGCTAACTCCAAGTTGTATGAATGTTAGATAGAAAGCACTTACATAGAAGTGCTCGTATGAATGGGTTAATACGGCACGTTGTATAAAACATGGCTCATGTTTTATACAACGTGTCCCAGCAGAGTAGAAAAGCGCTTTCTAAGAACCAATCCATTTACCATTTATCCCATGAGGCAACATCTTGCATGGAGCTCCAGACGGAGGATGATTGATAGTAATTATATATATCTTCCATGTCTGAATAATCACACCCCCAGTTGTCACCTTCTCAGCAAGCTTCTTGTAGGTCTTGTGGCCCTTTCCAGCCTTCTGCAGGCCCTGACATCCTTTGATCTCCTGACATCCCATCATCTTTGCCCATGGTTGTGGAGAGGTTGGAGTGAGATCAGGATTATCTGTAATTGACTGATTAACTGAGTGATCTGTAATCTGCCTGCCACATGGGCGCAGAGCCAAACTGGCTAAAACAAGCCGGGTAGTAGGGGATCAAAAATTTACTTTACTCAGTGACATGCAAATTAATCTATACGTTTTATTTTTCTGGATTTTTGGCTGATATTCAGTTTCTCTCCATTATAAAGAAACTACCATAAAAATTTCACACTGTTCAGTTCTTTGCAAGGGAGCAACTTCAGAAATTCAGCAGGGGCTTAAATGATTACTTCCCCCACTATAAGTGTGAGCAGCAGTTTAGCTTTTTTCCTAAATATAGGGTTAGCACCTATGATAACTTAGATCTCAGAGGTAAATTCTACACTAAAGCCAGTATGCAAATCAGTTTCCTAAAATTACAGAGTGAATAGAAAAAAATTCCAACAAGATTATATAAACAACTTCCGACAAAGAAAGATTATTCTGTTAAAAACACAACACAACTGCTCAGATGTGAGAAGACGTTTCTATTTTTCTAGGTCAGTGCCAGTGTGGACAGTGTACTTGCCACCCACCTGGGGACAGTCGTGTTCATGGCAAAAACTGTGAGTGTGACGACCGTCAGTGCGAGGACATCAATGGAGAGGTCTGTGGTGGAGGTAAGCGAACACACGCAGACCCTCACACACACACACACACACACACACACACACACACACACACACACACACACATTAAGTCTTTGTTGTGCCCTAAGGGGTCTTTGAAACTTTGCCGGTAGCGTTTGTAAATTTGAAGATCAGTGCACCGTGATCCTGTCTGCTCTCATTGATATCCACAGGCACAACCCTCTACACCCTTGAGCCTAATTTTAGAGAAACTTCTCTCAGCTGCTGAAGCTTCTGTTTGAGGTCCCGGGAAGTTGGCGCTCATAATTTGAGCCATTTAGGCAGAGATGCTGTAATGAATAGCTCACACTAAAACATTAGAGGCTCAGTTGAATTTGATATTTCCCATTGTAGATGCTAGAGCTTGAGAAAAGACAGAGAGAGAGAGAGACTGGCAGAAGCCAGATAAAGACAAAAAAGGATCGTAGTGCAGGTCATGAGAGTCATATCAATGATTATCACAAAGCCTCTTTAATTTGACTCCACATGACTCAGAGTATTTTTTTGGATACATACACCATGCGGAAATCTGCTTTTTGGGTCCTTTGCTGTAATGAAAGTGCTGGAAAAATGATAAAATATGACACATACACGGTTTTCCAAATAATAGCTCTTTTTTTTTCAAATTAATATCTTTCTAACAACAGCGAGGAGCTTTTCCTTCACATGCATACCAAACAGGGAAGGTACTTAGTGAAACTCAGTTCACTGTTCAGTCAGTGAAGTTTCAAACTATTTGTCTTTTCTCTTAAATTCACATGTGATCTGTCTAACTGCTACCATATATCAATATGTGGATCTTCCAGGGTAGAGAGGTTTTTTTAATGTTCTAGTGAGCTGTCTCACTATTGCATTAGTGGTGCAGTGCAGCATCTGAGGGTAATTTTCTGTAGTATTGATTGGATTACGGCCACTCATTGTCTGTTGGGCTGTCCAGGGACAATCCTTGAGGAGCCTTCTGGGTGAGCCTATCTCCACCACTGCTGCACATGCAAACAAACATAAGCATACATATGAACAATAGGTCCACAATTATGTCTGTATACTGAAAGGCCTGTAGAAGTCATTGGGTATTTTGAGAAGCTGAAAGGCACTCGAAACAAGGTGACACGTGAGGATCAAACATATAGGAGCTTTGTTTCAAGGGGGTTTGTAAGAAACTTCATAAGTCATGGTACAGTGCTGTCAGTGCTGCTGACTGTTTGGACCTCACTGCAGACAACAGAGAAGAGACACGTGTATACAATTCAGTCCTTCTGTGTTAACAAGCTTGTCAGTCAGGTCGGTCCTTACTTGACTCATGAGGGTTGTATCCAAAAACAAAGAACAAGAAGACAAAATTTTTACTTTGTACACTGCAATTTAAAGCAGTCCACTCTTTCTTCTCGTCCATAATTTCATTGTTTTTTTACACCTTCACTATGACAAAGACATATTCGTGTTATATGGGATAGAAAACATGGGTGGTCAGTCATACTGAACACAAGATCACACAGGACCTTCTTCAGTGTAGAGGCCACCTTGTACTTAGAAGATTGAATTGGCTATAACATAATTGTGTTTTATTTCTCTTCCAATCTGGAGTTGTTTATTTTAACCTCACTGGAGCTACTCGTGACTGGATTTTGTTATTATTTGTCAGTTGGAAGTTTGAAAAGAACATCTTAGGCCCTCAGGCTTAAGGCAATAAATTGCTTTCTTTTCATATTGTATCATTAATGCCAAGTCTGAGTGTTGAACTTTTAAACTGTCCAGATTTTACATGCATAGTTATTACTTTGATTTTTGGATTGACACGAACAGTAGTTAAAGTCTGAAGCTGGTCATTATGTCGGCTCCCACATTCATGTTTAGCCAGATTTCTGGCTGTGGGTATTAAGTGGGTATTATGAAGGCTCCGTGCCCCACAAAGTCACACAGTAATCTCCAGATTTTACCGAGGTTTACTGAAACCACTGAAATCATGTCAGCATATCTGCAGTGAACGTTTCTTTATGACAGGGATGTTGCTAGATACCCGCACTGTGTCTCTACTTTGATCCTTCTGTCTGTTGTGTACTTTGTACTTACTTTGATGGTGCAAGATCTTCATGGTGTCTTGAATCTGACATGCTCTTTGGTGCACTTGAAAATGACCACTACAACCTTTAAATGTCATGCCAGCTGTCCCATTTGCAACTTGTCAAGCAACATTAAATTCTTCTTTAGTGACAATGGGAATTGAAAATGAACAGACATCAAAGAATGCATTAACAAATCAAAAGACAATAAGCTGCAAATAAATGTGCTGCTTTAAGCTAACACTGGTCTTATCATTAGCATTGGCGGTGGATGCTCCTTATGCTGGTTTTAAACTGTTCTGCAAATAAGCCAAAATAGTTGAGAACATACATTCCTTCATAGCCAAATTAATAGCAGGTGTCACAATAATACATCTTAGATAAAGTGTTGGGTTAATAAATGCATTAATATCAGATACCACATACCATCATGCATTTCTTTGTGAAATAATGATCAAAAATGAAAGAAACGCAAAGGAACAACAGAGGTTATCTTGCATTCTTTGTATTAATTAACCTCTGTGATCGCTTCAACAGTCTAATTCAAATGAACTATGTAAGTGCTAATGCCTGGCAAATACAGTGTGGTCACATGACATTTACAGAGGTGAGACCGAGGTTAGATGCTAGGCTGTTTAGGTCTAATTTTCACAGTTTGTGACTTTAAATTATAGTTGAGGGAAATTATAATAGGAGTCTTGTCAGTCTGCGATTACATCTAATATCTGGTATCTGCTTTGTTTGTATTTTCTACATACAAACACCCACCCTATTGGATCAGGATAAACCTTGTTCTCATTGTTCAGTTTAAAATAGACTCAAAAGAGATTCTTGCTGTGTGGTAACAGCTTTTAAACAGAAGGCAGCTTAGATCTTTTGCTCTCTCTTACTAGTTTCTTCTCTTCCTCCCTATACTCACACAGCTCCATTTCTTTTCTTCCCTTTGTGGCACTGAACTCTAAACCTCTGTCAGATTCTTTCTGCGAGTAGCACAGATCTGCTGGGTTTGATGCCAAGTTAACAAAATGCTGAAATGCGATGCATGCTCCATTAAAAGCATATCTAAGTACTAAGTGAAGGCAGCTGCACTTGTTTGAGTTTTGTGAACGGCAGGCGCAAACTAATTGAATGAGGGCTAGAGTTCTGCTCCTTTAAAGCAATTAACCACTCTCCCAAGCTGTCTGATTGAGCCAGTCGTGCATGGCTTTCTTTTTCACCCATTTGCTCAGAGAAACTTTGGCTTTAGAGTAAGTAGAAATGAACTTCTCAGTTTCTGGAAACAAATGAACAAATATTGTATCTGAACCAAACTCCCTGAAGAAAAATAATAAAACACTAAGGAATATTATTCTATTATAATGTATGGGTATTTATTAAAAATTGAATAGTAAATATTTCAAAACATTTTTTAAAAGGGGATACGGCTTATTTTGTGTATTTATCACATAATATTGAATTTTATAGTAAAAAGCTGTTCCTGCAAAAAAATAAATAATAAAAACAAAATAATACTGAAAAATAATGATAAAAAATACCAGAATTAAAATAAATAAATATTGACTGAAATGTGCTGGTTTTAAAAACAAAACAAAAATTTAATCTGTGCCTTGAAAATCGTTCAAATTCAGTGAAATTAACCATTTAACTAAGTTTGGTTGTGTTTGTTTACATATGCATAGGAGTCTTGACCGTTTAACTTTTGTGGTGTTGAATCTGAAAAAATCTGAAAACAACCTGTTTGATTGACTGATGCAAACAACTATTTAAACATCCAAGGACTCAGTTGCTTCCCTTAACCAGTTACATGTCCCTGGTGTTGTGTGTGTTTTGTCTTTCATTGCCATTTTTTTTAAATAAATGTATTTTATTTTGTTATTTTGCTATTGTGGTTTAACAACTCTTAAGAGCAGCTCCTTTCTTAATGGTTCCCTTTCTGTAGGATTTTAGTTAAAACAATAAAAAGAAAGAAATTTTGAAGCAAATAGCCGTGGATTGGATCACTCCTGTGTACCTCTACATTAAACAATTTGGAGCAAGGTAAGGGTGTTCTGGTAACCACCTGGCATCTGTTGCCAGATGTGAACACAAAGGACTCAGTCAATGATGCAACTGGGTCTGCACTGCGTTTATTTAAACATAAGCATGGTGTGAGTGATGCAAGACTTCTGTTGGAGGTGGGAGACATAATTGTTATAGTGGCTGTCAAAACCACTCTGATGCTAACAGCTATTTAGACATCCCGGGAGCAGTTGCCTCCTTCAGTCAATTATCGTGCATTTCCCTGATTTTATGTGTGGGTGAAAATATTTGTGTGTTTTCGTCTGCCATTGCCATTTCTTGTTTTTCATCTCTCTCTGAAGCACTGGAGATTCATTAAGGACAGGACAAGACCAGTGATGACAGTTCCTTTCATGTCCCCAGGGGAAATACAATAAGCTTGCTGCGTCTCTCTCTCATCTTCCTGTAGCTCTGCCTCCTTGTACTGCCTATTAGTGTCAAGGTTCGATGTCTGCACTGTCAACTTCCAGTATTTATGTTCTTTATTGCTGTTTTTTTTACTCTCCTGTGGCATTTCTCTCAACTTTTGCTGCTAGTGAAAGCTTTACTCTTCTTTTTTTTTTTAATTTTTCTTGTATTTGCAGTGTTTTCTCATGGCCATGCTCCATATTCTGTCTCCTTTTAAACGAAGGCCCTTCTGCCCTCCACCGCCAGGTCACGGTTACTGTTCATGTGGACGGTGCATCTGTGAGGAGGGCTGGTTTGGGAAGCTGTGCCAGTTCCCCAGGTCTTGTGATATGAGCGATGCCCAGAGCAAGGAGCTTTGTGAGACCTCTGATGGTGTTATATGCAGTGGAAAAGGTGAGCAGTATTTCATTTTGTTTGGTGGTGTTTGGGAAAAACATTTCTAAGAGTTAATATTTGAATTTCAACTGAGAAGAACATTTTTATGGCCCGTTTGATTAAAAAAAAAAAAGTTTGGTAAATACACACATGTAAAATAGTACATAAACATAAAATGTACATTTATTTATGTTTTAAAGATTGTAGGTCATAAGTATGAATATGATGTCAAATATCGGATTCAATATCAATGTAAACTAGCTGGAATAGCAATAATAGTATGCTAATATAATGAACATCCACTGAAAGCTGATCATATTCCACACATAAAAGAGCAATGCAACAAAAGTATAACCACATATTTTTTCTAAAAATCTTAGAAATTCAGAAACCTATTTCCCATTCCCATTGTTTTCAAATGCACATATCATTCAAACAGTTGAAATGCATAAATATGCAGTGTTGGGATGGTTACTTTTAAAATGTATTTCACTACAGATTACAGAATACATGCCCAAAAATGTATTTTGTAACATATTCCGTTACGTTACTCAATGAGAGTAACGTATTCTGAATACTTTGGATTACTTAATATATTATCATGCTTTTTACAACTACATGAATGTCCTATTGCTGTGTGATTTATTACTATTACTAAAGGTTATTTGCCATACCAACCAGATTTTTAAATATTAATATAAATGAGTAACAGTAGGGTGGACATTAGGTAAGGCTGCACTTTTTGAAGCGATCTCATATAGAAAACTATTCCGCGCAAATATAAAACAGGTCTGTGGCTCCAAACCGTAAAAGCATAAAACTGTAAAGAGACCTCTGTCTAATACATCGGGTTCCGTGTCGGGCTCATAGCCGAAAACTAGCTTTACTTTGTTGTCTGGGTCAACTTTGTATATATATATTTACATGCTTCCATCTCCCGTTTCTGGTCGGTGACATCTCTTACTTTTCGACTCTTTTTCTCCTTCCCTCACGCTCACAGACACATAATAACGGGTATGGCAGTCCGTTCTCCCTGCAGCACGGACTACACTGCCCATGAGGCTACATTCTTTAGGGCAATGCCTGTAACACTCTGCCTATTGCCTTCATATTAAATCATTTTTGTGAATAATTTTTTTAAATATTTCTTCATGTCATTATGCGGGCCGCAAGTAGAGGTGACATGGGCTGCAAGATTGAGACACAGACATGAGAGCCTCTTAATGCATTTTTTGTTTGGGTTTCCACCGGCGTGGACACCAAAAATATAGAGTTCATAGCCTTATGTATAGTATACCTATGAAACTATACAGTTGTATAGTAGTATAATATATCTGAATTGTGCAGGGCTGATTCCTGGTTATTACACAGAAATCATCACATTTCTTAAAGCTTGTTTTTATTAGCTTGTTAACGTGATATTAATTAGAAACTACCACACATTTTTCCAAGTAGTATGCTTCAGCAATAAACATAATATTAACACCACTGCCTTGAAAAAACCATTTTATATTATTAGCAGACTTGTATATCACTATGCTATTACTATTTGGTTTTGGCTTATATGCATGCATTTATATCCACATTGTAACACCCCCCCCCCCCAATCATATATTTGAATGCAATATTACTGAGCCACAACTACTGTTGATACAGTACAAAGTATTGCTTGTGTATTATTTACATTTTACTTATCCTAATAATTTTTTAACAATAATTTTCTTATTACCAAGCTATAATAGGAAGTTCAGCCAAAAACTGATACATTTGTATTCTGAGGATAAGTTGTGGTTTGATAGGAACAACTCAAGGCCTCAATTCACTATGGATGACCACATAGGATTTACATGAAAGGACAGTGAATACAGAGGCTCCTCACCTAAGCCAGGGTCAAGGTATTTTATAATGTTAAGTATGTTTCCTTTATCCCTTCTAGGAATAATAAAGAAGCTTATTAGCAGTCTGAAAAATTCATCTAGAAAGGCAGCTAAACTCAAGGAAAGCAAGGAATAGTTCAAGGAAATACTAAAAGGGAGAGATTGTCTCAATCTATTGGAGATAATCAGAGTATCAGACTTGATTGGCGATTCAGTGCAAGCAGTTATGTCCTGATCAGTGAAATTAGGCTAATTCCGATAATACTAGAAGATGATGTTACTTAGAAGATTTATATTTACACTGAAACATTTTTATCATGTAGTCTGTGGTTTAGATACTTAGACTTTTATTAGGCAAACTTTTATCGTGTTACCTACAGCATTGTAGTCAAATAATTCAATCTCAGGTAGCTGAGCGTATTTAATTAAATGAGTAATAGAAAATTAACAAAAATGTTCTTGTTCACATCATGTAATGTGATCAAAAGGAAGATTTTGATTTCACTGTTGTATTATTTTGCTTAATCTCTTGATATAGTTGTATTTAGAGTACTTAAATTATGGTCTGATATTTATAGACGAAATTTTGGAGGTATAGAAATTTTAATTGACAGTAAATAAACTGATCATTAGTTGCAGCAGGAGCAGCTGTCGACTTCTTTACACTGCGCATTGTCACTACATTGTATGTATCATTAGGTGGCAAATGACACCACGCAGCAGGATTTTTTTCTCTGTTGCATAGCAGTGAATCCACAGAAATAGACCTGCTGCTCTGAGTCCAGCCCTGCAAAGCCGAGGATGGTGTGAAAATGAAGACGAGCATGTTCATTCTCCATGCGCCGCTACACCGAGGCACAAGAGCTACCTTTCCTCGCCTCCTCCTGTTGTTTCACCGTTTCACTTTCTCTCCTTCTTCTTACTTCATCTGCTCCCATCTTTCATAGTGGTTTTCCTGCAACCCAGTGAATGTGGATACAAACTGGGGGGATTGAAACCATAGTTGCTGGACCTCTGGGTGTGAGCTTAGGAAAAATAAAGTGGACAACAGTAGATTTGTTTCTCTCTACCAGTCTTTAATACTTTATTATCCTGCTGCTGCCCTTAAGAGTGAGTGAGAGAGAGAATGATAGAGAGAAGAATAGACACTGATGGGCATGACAGGAAGTTTAAAGTGTGGGTGGATTGGTGTCCTGGTGGTGAAAGCATATTAGTGTCCATTTCCCCAGAATACATGTCATATTCACTCAGCCCAGTATTATCTTCTGTGAAAAATAAGTAATTTACAGCAAATAACGAATATACACTGCCAAAATCCCAGCTGAAATGAAAAAAAAATGATGTTAATATACAGTTGTCAATGTGTATGCTCGTGTGTGTGTGTGTGGTCTGCATGTGTGTATTACAGGTTCCTGTCATTGTGGTAAGTGTATCTGCAATCCCCAAGACTGGTGGGTGTCCGGAGAGTACTGTGAGTGTGACGACCGAGAGTGTGATAAGCACGACGGGATTATCTGCACAGGTAATGAAATGCAAAAAAGGAGAGACAATCAATCGAATACAGTCGATACAATCAGAATAAGTAAAAATGGTAAATACTAGAAGATAATGGATAATATAAAAGTCAAAGTCACAGCGGAGCATTTCCACCTTTGGACTGAAGTGCCCCAGAGACTGCCAGATGTTTTATTTCCATGAGGGTAGTCAAACTGAAGGTTTATGTTTTTATTACATTAGTATTTCTAACACTGAAAAGGGAGATTAGCACGCTACATTGTTGGGCTTACTGTATAATTTGCTCTTCTTCAAAACCAATTTATGTTTTAAATGTGTGTGGCTGAATTAATTTAAATGTGCAACTTGCCCCTATCTAATGGAGAGTAGTTTTATGATGTTTGAATAGAGTGGAAGGTGGGCAGGTGTGCTCAAGATGCAGAGATGCTGGGAGAAGCAGGGGCTAATTTACATTTTCAAAGGTTGGCCCTTACTAAAGATGAAAAAGGTGTCGAGTTAAATCAAAGCCATTTTAATGGGCTTGCTTCTAAACATTTGTTTTTGAAAAGGTGTTTTAGGGGTTTTCTAAAAGAAAATATTGGAGCAGAATTTTATTGAAGAGCGACACCTTAGCAGAAAGAGGGAGCCGCGTGTTAAAATCAAATTACTTTCATGAGTAACAATCCCAGTGAGCCAGAGATGGGGTGTGGGCTTGTTTGGCAGCTGTTTTTATAGAAACAGTAAAACTGATCATAAAACAACTATCATAGCAGTTAAAACTGTTAGCTTATATTAAATCTAAACACTTAATAGCTAGTTAAGCAGTGATTAGCTGTTAAATGCACTACATGTAACGGATGAATAGTTAAAACAGCTAATCATAACTGACAAAACCATGACTAACATAACTAAATTATGTCGGAAGTTTGTAAGATTTGCGTAACTGAAATCCATAATGAGCACTTTTAAACATTTTGTACACTGTTTATTGTTGTTGTTGTTGTTGTTGTATTACTCATTTTGTATTTATGTTAATGGCTGTGGTTGTGTGCCTGACAACCATAAACAACTGCATACCTATATGCCATATGGCTGTTTATCCACAGGAGCTTTATTCTCATCACTGACTGTGGAAAGTTTAGTACACATCTAATTATTTTTGCCCTGGGGGCCTGTCAGAATCTGAATAGCTTCACAAGTGCTTCTCATCATGACTTTAAGAGTCCAAATGTCAGCCTTAATGTCATTCAAATGAGCATCAGTGTTTCCAAATGCAGATCGGCATTGCTTAAACACAGGGAGCAAACTAAGAAAATGCATTAGAGCATCTGGCAAATGTGCCTGACTACCATTACTGACTGCAGTATAAATGTGAAAATAACCATATCCTTGGAAGTTATTTTATTGGAATAGTGTTTTACATGGAAAGGCAATTCCAGAGAGGGATTTAATATTTGGATAAAAGAGTTGCTGTGGGGTTTTTTTCAGATAGCAGTGATTGAGTCATTTCTTGCCATTTTGTAAAGATTAAAAATGTTTGACAAAAGTTAGCCAATAAATTACTTTGCATCCAGAGATTTCATGGATCCTTCAGTGCTGTGGATTCTCATTACACATACAACTGATGAGTGATGTGGAAAATTTAGCATATTAGGAATGCTTGCTGGCTAATTTCATGCACTGCATATGATAATTTCAGCAATCGTATTAGAAGAGAGACAAAAATGTCTGTCGGGTCGCCTGCTACACAGGTAAATATGTGAAGCAAAAAAAACAAAATAAATGACTACGTTTTCTCACCATGTACAATTTTTTCAATTTGTGTTTTGTCAGTGGGATGAAAATAAAATGAAGAAGAGGTTTGAGTTTACGGTATTCATGAGAGCTGTTTAATCATGTGAAATGTTTGTGAGTCGGGAAAAAATTGGTTTAAGTAAATTCCGAATAAACGAAGAACTGTGGATGTTTTTGTTGAGGAGAGCATGAACCAATAATAAATCTTAATCTGGCACTTATATGTATACATAGAGAGATGTTGTTCAATATTCTAAAACTCCTATAAAACATCCAGATCAATAGTAAATCATGGAAATTTCACCTGTGCAGCAATAAATCCTTCAGGAAACAGATACAAAGTACAAAATATAGATGTGTTTATTTTAGCTACATCTTGAAATTCAGGAAGAGGTGAGCAGATGTGATCATCCACGTCTGAAGTTCAGAAAGTTTTTTTTCTTTTTATACTGACTTTTTTTGTGCTTACTCTTCTTTCACATATTGGAACAGCGAGATCCTTGACTATCTTCAAATTAGATGAAAAGGAGCCTGAAAGTCTGGCTGCTTCTTGAGGCTTCCAGACACTTAAGTAGACGTCGCCTATGCAGAGACCTCGAGGTCAAAGCAGAGGTTTCACTGACCATGACTTTCAGACCTCGCCATCATAGTAAAACCTCACAGGACTGTAAGACCAACTCTAAAAAAATAACCATTTACAGATTGTACTAAGAAAATACTCTGTAAATACTGTACAGTAAATATTCGCCCAAAAAGTTATAAATCTATAAATGGAAGTGGTCAGCCAACAAATGCAGTATTTAATCCTTTTAACTATTTCCCCCCCTCAATTTTCAGCTCTTATAGGAAAATATTTAGCTTTTAATTTTTTTACGATTGGTTTTTAAATGTTTATTTCTTTGGGAACAAATGAGTTTAGGACTGAAGCCCATGGACAAGGCAGTAAAGCAAAAAAAAATACTGAGAAATTACAGTTCTAGTCTAGGAGCATGAAATAACTCTGGTCTTGTCTTTGTAATTGCTTCTTTCCTGGTTCTTTTCTCAACTACTTCCTTGTTGGCTTACACTCCTCCCTCCTCTCCCACAGAGATATTTGGTGGTAGATGTATCTTTTCAACCGTGTGACAGGAGACCAGCAGGAGCCCTCTTCCTAACCCCAGCACCTCTGACTGACAGCTCCGGAAGCTTATGGGGAGGTGTGGGGTATATACTGTAGCGATATAATTCCTACAGTAGCATGTTATGCCACTTTGGCCCTCTTTAGAGATAAAGAAGAAAAAACTATATGTCTTGACTATTTATCAGTCCTAAAACAACCAGTGTGAATGGGTTGGTGACTTAACTTCTCTGTTAGTCAGACTTCTGGTAATATTATGATCCTATTTCGTTTTCATTTTGTTTGTGTTCCTACTACAGGATCTGGTCAGATATATAGAGATGTTTGAGCTTTGTCCAAATGTTGTAAAAACAAAACATGAATAAATTAATATCGAAAAGTAATTAAACTCCATGTTTCTCCTGCTGTTAAGGCAGAAGCAGTGGAAAACCACAGACTGTCCCGAGCAATGTCATTGGTCTCCATCCCCTATCAGAGAGCTGCACCCAGGGAAGCAAGGAGTGTGAAAAGAGGAACCTTGTTAAAGGTCAGGCATGATGGCACAGCTCTTTTAATTCACAGCTTTTCTTCTCACATCTCACAGGGAATGGGTTGTGCAACTGTGGCAACTGCGAGTGCTGGGACGGCTGGAATGGGAACGCTTGTGAAATCTGGATGGGAGAAGAATACTGAGGCCAACAGAGAACAGGACACTGGGTTCAGAGAATTGAGACCTGGCTGCCCAGTGTGACCAGGAGCACCACGAGTCACGACCAAGCTGGTGAAACGCCAAGTTATCGAAACCACGGGGAGGAGAAAGGAAGACTAAACATGGACGTAGCTCTGCATTTCACAAACAGCATTCATTGTTTTATTGTACTGGTTACAAACTATCCTTTTAAAACTGGGTTTTGTAGATGAAAAGAAACAGCCATAGCTCTGTGCTTAAATCATATTACAATGTAAACATTTATGTTTTCAAAGCAGCTTTTTTTTTTTTGGATATTGTAGGAATGCTTACATATTTCAAATGGCTATATATAATAGGATGCAAGTACATGACAGTTTTAAATGCTGGAGAGAGGATAAAACGTATCATTAAGATGACTTTGTAGTAATATGTTTGATACTGTGGTCTGTTTTTACTGGTAAATGGTCTGCCCTTCCCACACTGGACTGAAAGTTTACTCGAAAGCTCGAGGCATAGGTTACGCTGAGGTTTTTTATTTCTTTTTCATAATAAAACATTAAATGTGCCGCATGACACAACATTTTGCATGGAAAACAATGCAAAGACCTTAATCATACATGGTTACAAATTTGTTATAACATGACATAACTCCAATGGGCATACTTGCAATGGTATATATAGAGAGAGATATATTAGAAAATAAATCATTTTATTAGTGCCTACTCTCCTCCGTCAAACAAACAGTCTGCCCTGAAACCTTTACTGTCTTAGTAGTGGTTAAATTCTAAGTGGAAGAAACAAAGAGAAGGGAATAAATAGTTCAGTTGTGGCATGCTGGATGTCCATGTCACTTCAAATGGTGGTATCAGGGGATGAGAGCTGCACTGACACAAGAGCTCAGTCACCACTTGAAAAAAGGACCGATAAGAAGTCACAAAGGAAATTTAATGTAAATTCTACTTTGGCCTTTTTCATGCTTAAACTAGCCAATCCCCTCTGTTTTCTTTGTCCCCGAAAAATGACAGGTGCAATAATATACTGCACACTATATTGCATTAAGTATGTTACTGACTTTACAGTATACCTTTATATAAATATTTTTTATTCAATATGTTGTATAATGTGTATACAACAAACACAAACTGTATAGTGTAGACAAACTCGTTGCATATATGTAAAATTAGCAGTACATACCAACAGTTCTTGATTGACATAGCCTACTACATGCAGTTCATCAATGCCATCCTCTCCCCATGCAACAGATGGGACAACATACAAAATAAGAGGTTCGAAAACAGAAGCTAGGATATTCTCGTAACACATTTGAACAAATGGGGTAACAAAGCAAAAACGCGATTGGGATCTGGAGACGAAATCGACACACAACCCGTATACGAGAGAGATGAGGACGAACAAAACAAATGGCGGCTACAGCAATCCAAACAGATGTACTTGTACACACTGGTCATTTACAAAAATAAAGCCAGCCTTGAAGGAGCCAGTTAACTGGGCTGCAGGGCTGGGGCAGTCACCAGCCCAGCATGTAGAGTTTTGTAAGAGCGGAGGATGACAGTGGTTTCCAGCTCCTGTGTGTGTGTATATGACACCATTTTTAGGATTAACAGCTTTGTACAGACAAATATTGATATCTATGTGATGTGCTTTGATGTGTTGTAATAAGAAATGGCCATGTATAATCCCAATAAACTCAGAAAAATGATATTTACCAAATCAAGTTCTTAATATAGTTGCACTTTTAGCAGCATACGGCAGCAACGATCTACTTAATGTTCTAAATCTTACTTAACTAAACTATTAGGAAAAGAAAAACCAGTAAAGCAAGACGAACATAAATACACTGATCACACAGAGCTTTGATAAACTGCTAACAGTCATGATGAAAATGCAAAACAAAGTGCGGTGAGTGTGCCGCAGCCGTGATACATGCCTGTTCAACTCCTACACTGAACTTCAGTGCTCATCCATTTGCACATAGTGAAGAACAATGCCCATACCTTACTCCTTGTAGAAAATACATGCATGTGATTATTCAAGGTATATGTACTTTTCCAAAGTGACATCAGTCAAGACCTTTGTGGATCTGAGCAGAGTTGATTATTCTGGACAGAACAAATGCTATCACAGTGAAAGCTTCCGTGAATTGAATCAGAAAGAGAATCGAGATTTGTTTTCTTTCTTTCTTTCTGTTTTTTTTTTTTTTTTAAGAATCAGTTCTTCTTGGGATGAAAAAAAGACTTTGGTCATTTCAGAATGGATACATCTGAGTGTGTTTTTTTCAGTGAATAATGCTACGTGTCGTCTACATGGATGTATAGGGTGGGTGAGGCACCTTTGGCCCAGTGGGGACTGGGAACTTGTTTTTGCATGCCGGGAATCAAGGTCCAAACAGGCACGTGATAGGCCAAGATGATCAGAACTGGACTCTGCATGCTGAGCTAGAAGACAAATTCTCTCATTATAATAATAATATCTAGTCTTTTAAAAAGTTATGATTTTTAATAGTCATTTTCCCTAAGTTTTATACAGTGAAAATGTTATAATATAAGCCATCTCTTGTATATCTGCTGCAAGAAGAGAGAACACAATATTAACCTTGTCCATGCTTTAGCTTGCTGAACCAAATAGGGATGCAGCCAGTGTAAATGTCACCTACTGGTTTTCAGCCATGTTGTTTTCTGGCTTTATGTAGACACTGCTGTAAGGTGGCTGCCAGTGCTGCAGTTATAGACCATCTGGGTCAAAGCCACAAGCCTTGCCTCATAGTCCAAAGAAGTCAGTGAGTGAGGGACAGAGGCCTACAAGGCCTAGAGATATTCCTAGAGCCCACGCTCTGAAATAAGATTAAAGAAAAATAGACTTCAGATTTTCTATTTACCAGAGAAGGCGGACAGAACCGCTGGTGGGACCTAGATAGTGATATGTATACACCATTCCTTACAGCGCTCTCCCACCCACACACACATCTGTTTATAAATGTGTATGTGTGTTTGTATGTGTGTAGGGAGCTCCTCGCATTGATTGCAGTGGCGGTAATTAGCACTTCATCAGCTATGATTGCAGGAGCTATCTGCCAGCCTCCACCGTGTTTTATTGGCTGTTTAAAAAAAAAAATCTCAGATTTTCAACACAAACTTTGTGTGTCTGTCTATTAGAGTGTGTGCATATTGTAGGCAAGAAGAAAATTTGGACTCTTTTCCACATGTCTTTGCTTTTTATGCCACATTTGTGTTCATGTGTTTCTTAGAAAATCACGCAACCCCCTTGCAAAATGTTTTCTAGGTTACTTGACAAAGAGAAAAGTGTGACTAAAGATAGAAATAAAGGGAGAGGGGGACGCACTTGTAAAAAATAGAGGACAACAGTCCAAATAGTTACTCTATCTATACAGTCTCTATCCCAGAACATAGCTGGTGAACTGTGGTATAGAAAATAGATCTGAAGGTACACAGACTCTGCTGCAACAGGGCATCATAGACAAGGGGGAGGTTTTTAGGGGGAATCATCATCAAGCAAAGTACCAGAAGCGTCATTGTGAAACGCACGTCCCTCCTGGGCTGAATGAAGTCGGCCACCTCAGGAATCCATCTGCCTGTGCTGAGGCAGCTGGAGAATTTGAGAGAATGAGGTGGAGAAAAAGGAGGAGCGAGAGAAGAAAGAAAGGGAGGTTCGCCTGGATCTGCAGAAGGGTCTGGAGTCTAGTTGGATAAAGCCCTGTCTCCGTCGCATTCCTCCCCTCCAACACATGCACATACACTAGGCACTGGCGTGGCTATGTGGTGGGTTTGTCGGGCTTGCTGACGGGTTTCCCTCCGTTCATCACTGCCGGCTCACTTGTGCTTTTACTGGGAGGTACTGCTGCCTTGGGCACTGTCTCTCCAACATCATGCAAAGATGGCTCTCTGTACATGGCAACTGTCAGGGGTGAAAAATTAAGGAGAGAAAACAGAGAGAGTTTACACATTGAAAATTACTAAAGCAGCATCTATCCCCTATTCTTGTTCTTCAGTCCTAACGTGTGGTAGAAACACAAAAAATCCTCAAATTCTCACACATTGAAGACAATAGGCAATTTACTGAAGGAAAATAAATTCGTGTTTTGATTAACAGAGCTTTGCACTGACTCACTTTTTTTTCATCTATCTGGGCTGATGGAGACACAAGACACAATCTAAACACAAAGACTTTTTGACAAAGCTGCAAAGGAGTCTCATTATCCCCCACTTTACAGCCACTACACTACAGCTGTAACGGTGCCTTGACAGGACACTTCAACTTGATTCTCTGCTTAAATAATTCGAAGCAATCAGGCTGGTGGCTGACAAGATTGATGGTGGCATCTGCTGGACTATCAACATTTCATGCTGCACTTACAGAACAGCCCTGCCTCCTATGCTCTATGCTTATAGGAGCAAAAGAATGAATCAGCACACAAATACAAAAGCATATCAAACATATACTATATTCTATACAGTTACATAGTTATACAGTTAGTATTATGGAATCTTGTCATGTAGTATGATGCAGCAGTTGTCAAGCACATTATGTCAGTTTTGGGTGTTTTTACATCCATACATGCATTATCGTCTTTTCTGTATGTCTGCTATATACCTTCTAATGGCTTGGGCAGGAAGTGAGCAGCTGGTTTTGTTTTTTTCACTCGGTTCCCTTTCATGGCTTGGCCTTCTTTATTGAGCCCTAAGAACCAAGCTCTTCCCGATTCCTGTTGTCTGTACAACATGGACGAGTAGATCACATAGTAGTTCTCGAACACTGACTCTTTGAACTTGCATTCTGCTGTAAAGAGTTCCTGCGGAGAGACAAAAGTGGAGGAGACAGATTTTAAACAATGCTTAGAAAAAAAAATGAAAATGATACTTCACGAGGCTATAACCTGCACGGGGAGACATTAAAGCAGGCTTAAATCAATGATTCATGGTTCACATTGTGTAAGAATAAAAAAGATGTCATAATTTATATTTAATGTTGAATGCGGGTCACCGGGACAAGTGTCATCTTTATTTCAAACTCGCATTGTGCAGAATAATGTGAAACCACCCAACTAGTTAACATGAACTTCACACTTCTGCCTGTCTTGAAAAGGATGAGCACTGCAGAGCCTCAGTCGGTGTAAGCATGCCTGATTCAGGCTGAGCCTGACGATGCAACTCTCATTCTCTCCTTGGCCTTAACCTTGACATCTGATGTTAGAGCACTCGTTCAGTCAATTAGCTCATGTTCCTGGCAGAAAGTATAGATTGTTAGACTGTGACCCGAGGACCACCACGCCTCACCCCAGATGCCAAGCCAAACTTGCTTCGCTAGTTTCTCAATGTTTTTAATTGGCAAAATCCAAAGGGGCTCATTTTCCCCCACATATTATATCTGCTTTAAGCAATTTGTCTATGACTGTATTCTGGACTTTGTTCAGATAATGATAGAGCTAATCAAGTGATTCTTTCATCCTTTACACCTCAATCTGGCTATGACAAATGAAGACAGAGGCACCACATCTCTTTCTGCTGTTACCTATTCATCTCCAGCCAGAAGGGTAATAAAAACATTTTTTACACTGTCTGCCCCAGCAAGCTAAAAATAAAGGCATTCATTGGGGTATATTAATCAAAGCGTACAAAGGAGACATCCACCACATCTGTTGTGAGCTGTTCACACTGAATTGGTTCATAAAACCACAGGAAGTGTCATACTGCTGTGGTTCTCAATGTCTGGGGTCAGTGACAATATTCCTTAGAGATCACTATAAGGAGTACCTTCTCAGCTAGAAATACGTAAAGTCTTCAATATAATGGTTGTGTTATATGCAATATCATCACCTAACCACTGCGAACTAATTTCTATGCTAATCAATGTAAAACTAAACACACAAACATCTTTATGAAAGCGAGTCTTTGATGACTGTTTATCTATTTTTCTGCACCCCTTTGATTCTATGCTAATCTTCAGTAGATAAAACAGTGATTATGTTCACAGTTGTTCAATGTGTCAGCATGCTAATAATAATTATCCTGTTGCAGGCATTTCTTCATAAACCAGTGTAAAATATTGATCTGACAATGGTGCTTCATGAAAGGTTAGGGGATCTTTGGGGACTGTTCTCCGACACACACACACACACACACACACACACACGCACACACACACACACACGCACACACACGCACACACACGCACAAAAGAGGAAAGAAAAGAAAGGTCATTTCTGCACATTCTGTGCAGTAATATGCAAAAGTCTTGATTCACGCTTCATCAGGGAAATAGCTGCAGCAATTTATTAAAACATCTGCAGCCATACACGGAAATACAATATATTAGGCGAAAGCAGAGTTTGTACAATTCTAAAATGCTGGAAAGTCAATACTTGTTGTGGCCACCTTTATTTTTCTGCACAGCCTGAACTCTCTTGAACTCTCTTAGTCAAGCTCTGGAGTAGTTTTCAGGAATAGTTCTCCAGGCTTCTTAAAAGACATTCAAAACTCTTCTTTGCATATTTTTTGTCTTTTGTTCTGTTCTCTGTCAAGGTGATCCCGCACGTTGTGGTCTGGGCTCTGGGGAGGCCAATCCATGACTGACAGTGTTCTGTTGTGTGTTTTTCCTATCCAGACACGCTTTTACTGCACTGGGATCATTGTCGTACTGAAAAATTAAGCCATTGCCAATCAGGCATTTCCCCGATGGTATTGG